ATTTGACTCAATTAGCCACATGATATATAAACTCCATCACCCCCAGTGCTCTGCTAATGCTCGTTCTACTTAGAATAAAACAATTTTTCTCTAGGAATAATTACTCTGTCCATCAAAGTTAAGTAAAATGAGAAACAGTTTTCTCTACCTCATCTGATGAAGTAGTTCTGTTTCCACTTGGATAGCATCCAGGGATTGGCGCATAGGTATAACTGCTTTTAACAGCCAAAATAAATATAAAATGTACATAGATGTATATAGAAAATTTTCTTACAATGTGAGCAGTATGGAGGAAATTTGGATTTTTCCGGATGAATCTTAAGTTCATACTTTTTTGTATACAACAAAGGCACATTAACTTTATAAATTTATATATTGTCATACAAAAATATAGATAATCAAAGCTTTAAATAGCCAGGTGTGGTGAGTATCCATCCTTTTAATTCCTAGTCCTTGGGAGGCAGATGCGAGCAGTCTACAAATGAATTCCAGAACATCTAGGGCTACAAGAGAAACCCAGTCTTGAAAAAAAACAGAAAGCATTAAATAACTACATAATGTATAAATCCCCAGGAAATTAGGATCACTGTGTCCTTAGGTCACCATTTTGAAGAGTTAATATGAAAGTGAAAATGATTGAGACCCAATTAGTTTTCAAATTAACAATACACTAAAATGGTTAGTATCTCAACTGCTGATGTTTTAAAAATGCTACATACACATTTAAATCCTTCAAAGAACACTTCTGTGAGGGAGAGCTTGATATGATTTTAGTTCTCAGCTTGCTTTGTTGTTTTGGTTTTCTGAAACAGGGTTTCTCTGTGGAACAGCCCTGGCTATCCTGGAGCTTTCTCTGTAGAACCTAGAACACAGAGATCCTCCTGCTTCTGTCTCCTAAGTACTGGGGTTAAAGGCATGCATGCCACCACCTGTCTAGTTCTCAGTTTCTTAAAAATTCAAAAGGGTTTTCTTTATGATGTGCAAAGAGTTTGAAAGTGGCCTGGTAAGAGGAAAGGAGTTTGGAATTACTTTTTCACTCTCTCATATTTGGTTACTTTATGTTTTGGCTCTGTCCCACCTCACCACCATATGAGTATATTTAATGTGGCATGTAAATTACCATGAATTATCCTCATCATAGAAAGTTCATTGCTTTTCCAGGGTTCTTCTCTAAATCAGGATTTTCAAATAGATGGAAGAAGACATTCTATCTTTTGAACCCAAGAGAATATATTCCTCACAGAACCCTAGTCTTTAATATTATTAGAGCTATGGTCACTTTTCTGTGGCATCTAAGCCAATGTAGCCGGATGTTTGAGAGCAAATGCACCTTGGTGGTGTCATTCTTACCAATGTCTTCGATGATACCTGAGAGAACTATGGCAGAATTTGTAGTATAGTTACATGGTGTGCCCATCACCAGCCTTCCCACTGCACTTCCAGGCACTCTGAACATGGCCATCTGCTTCTCTTTGAGTGTTCTCAAAACCTAGTTTAGAGCAAAAATTTTGGCCTAGTCAAATCATTCACAGTATTCTACAGCATATTTTCTAAAATCTGTTATCCTCAATCCTAAATAATCACATGGAATAGGAACAGTTTAGATTTCTACTAATAAAATACATTTCTGACCCTCTCTATAGACATATTCCAGTTAAGGAAATACTTACTTCATATTATGAATAAGTAGAAATTGGCAAAGTTGCCCCAGTTGTCCTTGGACCCTTCTCTTATCCTCCTGCCTCCGCTTCCCTAGTAGCAAGGATTGCATGAGTCATCCATTACATACACCAAAAAATGTATTATTTTTATTACATTTTATTTAGTTAGTAGGGAGTATACAAACACCATACATGTGGAAGAGTCTGAGGACAAGTTGGAGGAGTTGGTTCTTTCCTCCTAAGTATCTACTGTGATGACATTCAGATCAAAATATGCTACCTTAATCAACTCCCAGCAATCAAGTTGAACTTGTCATTCTACTATATGAAAAGATCTAGCTCTTATGTCAGAGGCAATTACTTTTTATTCTAATCCTATATGGATGAGTGACTTAAAACTGTCAGAGTAGAATTTCATTTCCTTGAGAAAAGGTTGTTTTGAAAAGAATATGGAACATAAACATAAAATTAATTATAAACAAATGTCAATTAAAGACGGTATAATTACTTGTAATATTAGGATGTTAAATTTATTAAGGGTCAAGATTAAGGCTTTGGTCATTATTTTATCACTGACAAGTGCCAAACAATACCTTGAATTAGTTGTGATTCAAAAATTAAATTTTATAAGTAAAATAAAGGCATGGAAAGGAGTAACATTGTACAGAAAGAGCTGTATAGTTTCATTTTTTATTCTCATTTTGGGGGGCTTAGTTTTGGTTTTCTCTTTTTTTATTGATTTTTGTTTTTGAGACAAAGATTCACCATGTATCCATGGGTGGCTTGGAATTCTGTTTATAGATCAGGCTGGCCTTGAACTCACAGAGATCCGCCAGCTTCTGCCTCAAAAAGTGTATGCCACCATGACGAGAATGCTCAGTTTTTGTCTTTTAATGTGGAATCCCATGGAAAATTTTGTGGCATGATTGTGATTCTGAAATATTTCAGGGCTAAAATATCCATCCCTTTTAGAGAATAGTAACTATAGAGGTAAGTAAGGCACAGAGGCTAGGCTGCTTTTGATTTGTTATTGCAAAGATACACTACTCACAGATTTTTGTAACTTCTCACTTTGGAACATAGAAGTTCTGAAATCAGGTTTTGGCCTATAAAAACAAATTGGTAAAATTATGTATCACTACACAAACATATTTTAGCCTCCAAAATGTGTTGTAGGATAAATGAGGCAGATAAGAACTTTGCCTTTCTTGTTAGCTTTCGCTTTTTCATTGGTTTACAGAGGTTGAGCATCCTGAAATATACATTTTAGTAATCTGCATTGCAAATAATTGCACATAAGTGATTCATTCTACCCAGTAAGTTTCTGGCATGAGTCTGTATGTTTTCTTTTGTGTGTGTGTGTGTGTGTGTTGGGGGGTGGGGAGCAAGGAAACAAAACAATCGCTTTTAATTCTGTGCTTAGAAATAAAGACTGGTGTCTCATTTCTGCTCCACTGAAACAGGCTGTTTAATATATGAACATAGTGTTAAAAGTAAAAATTATATGGTGATAATTTTTAATAATAAAATCAAAATGTATATGAAGCATGTGCATTTTATGAAAAAAAGGCAGTTATAAAAGTATTCATTCTTTCAGTTCTATTAATGTCAAAATAGACTTGAGGGTTGAATGATTTAATTACACTTGTTAGCAGAGAGTGAGTGCTAATAGTTAGTAGCATTAAAAAGACCGTAGATAAGTGACATCTCATTTTCCAAACCTTGGTATACACTGTTAAGTGTCAACTCCAGAGTAATTTTAAAGAAACGGCTTGATTTCAGCATTGCTTCCATTAGTAAAACAAAAGTGGTATGCCAATCGAAAATACATTTGGACCCATGTTAAAATTTTACTTCTGTAATCATTAGCCATTTTGAATTAACTTAACTCTAATTTTGAAATGTTGATTTGGCTTCCTCTTTTCTTCATAATTATTTCCTTACTGCTCTCTAAATCACTCTTCTGAATTAGCATTCAACAGTTACCTAGCCAAAGAGGAAAGACCAGAAGCAACTACTCTAACATATTCATCATACTTACACCACACCTAGAAATTTTAGACAGCTTATTCATGGTTTAGTAATTATTATTCAAGATAGGTTCATTTTTTTCAATTTATCTTCAATAGTTCTAAAACAGTATTTTACATAGATAGATATATAGATGATAGATAGATAAATAGAATATTACATGAAGTTTTCATTTTAGACATGTTCTTAGCACAGTCTAAACTTGAATCCGTGATGATAAAGATGAGCCATCACATGGCTTTTTACATTTTATGTGACACTAGATATGATAGAAATGAAAATGCCAGTGAAGGATCACTGTATATTTAAGCATAAGGTTTGATAAGGAATGCATAGTCATGGAGAATCGTGAGTGAGAAAATAATAGGATGTAAATTGGGAACAATTTAACATGACACACTCAGGTACTTCTATATGATGTTCTTTAGAGGCAGTGGCATCCATTTCCTACAGGTGTAGAGTGGGCATTTCTGGATTGAAGGTCTTATGACTTGTTCAAGAGGTAATTCAAAGAATTCTTTTTCTGGTTGCTTTAGAGGAAGAAGGTAAAAGGAAGGTCAGAGAGACCTTTCTTCCTTCTGTTCCTTCCCCCTTCATATGGACTGTGTACATTTTGTATATATTTCTGCATGTATACACACACACACATATAATAAATTCACACACATAGAAATGGAGGTACTTTTCTGATATGCATACATCTATGTGGTTTAATTTAGCAAATATGTTCTAACAAATATGCCTCCATGTTATACATTAAATATTTTTGTCCAATTGAAAGATTTTCAAACTTCTTAAGCAATATGACTATAAAAACTCTTGTAATGAATTGTGTGACACAAACTGCACACCCCATACTTCATATATTGAAGGCCAGACAGTCAAGTCCCTCAGAATTGGAAGTTTCTCACAATGGGCTATATTTGAAGAAAGGGCCTTGAAAGAGGTCATGAAGATTAAAAAAAAATATTAAGTTATATCTTAATGCCACATGGCATCTGTCCTTTTAAGAAATGGGGATTTGAACACACACAACCAAACAGGTGAACAATTATATGAGAACACAACAAGAAGGCAGCAATCTGCAAGCCAAAGAGAATTCTGATACCTTTCACTCAGAATTCTATCCTCTGGGTATATGAAAAATAAATATATTGTGTTGTTGAAAGCACCCAGTATGGGGTACTTTATAATGACAGTTCTAGCAAACAAAAATATATTTACAGAAGCAATGGTTTTTTATCAAGTCTTGACACCTAGTAGCTGATCTGAAATACTATTGGATCACATTCCTTAACACAAAGTTACAGCTTTGCGAAGAATGCCAGAGAGCAATATGAAAAACTATCTACCATGCACAACAATATGGTGAAGCTGTATGAGAACCTGGGAGAATACTTCATTTTTGACCCGAACATGGTAACCATAGAAGATTTTTTTGGTGATCTCAACAACTTCAGAAACCTATTTTTGGTGAGTAATATACTTTAAAACATGCTGAGTCCTGTCGTTTGTTTCTAACTTGTATTGACATCTTTATATATCTAATGACTGTACTGGTTTCATGTTATAGATCTTTAACCCCAGCAGGAATTTCATTTAACAGCCAAATTATTTGACATTTGAGGTGTGTTTCTGTCACTCAAACAGTTATTAAGTGGGACTCTGTTAATCAGTGATATTGCCCTATAAAATGATATGATTTGAGTAGGATAAGAATAGTCTTGGAGGAACCACTTCCTCCTAGTTCTTGAGATCCAACTCAGGGCATATCTCAACAATTGAACCAACAACTCTGGTATTAATACAAACTACAACAAACTTTGATAAAAACCGTAATTGCTTTTCATGTCTTTGCTGAAAAAATAAAAGCTGAGGTTGGCCTTTGACCCTTAACAAAGATACATATTTAATTTTTCAGCTCACTCATAATTAGTATGTGATCTGATAACAATAAAAGAGCTTTTAACAAGTAGTCAAACAATTTTCAAAAAGTAAAAGTTTTAAAGATAATATGGATACATATACCCATGAGCAACACTCTCATCTCTAGTTTCCTTTTCCATAGTTCAGGTCAATTCTAGATCTCAATAATTAAATGAAAGATTCCAGAGGTAAACAACTCAAAGGTTTTAAATAACTTTTATTATAAGACATTGCTATAATGGATTTCTTTCAGTATTATTGTTAACCTCTTACTTCGGCTAACTTAACTGACATGCAAACTTGGTGTGAAACTTACTGGCAGTCTTGAACTTGGTTTCGTTCTTTGAACATGTAACCTCTCTGACTATTCATTTCCTATAATCTATAATGTTCAGGTGAAGGGTATTATTATTCATTCTCTGACCATTCTTTCAATTATTTGTTAAGAATCAATTTGATTTGATGTTCTGAGCCAGAAATAAAGGGAAGAAATAGTTTGTCTCTATTCCATGAGTACAGGCAGTACATGCATTAGAATTTACTGTGTCCTGACATAAAGTAATATGTTAGGATATAGTAATAATACAAAGTAGGGTGAGCCTGACTCTTCCTGTGAAGGCCAGAGAAACCTTCATAAGGACCTTGACCTTTGAGCAGAGTCTTGAAAAATCCATAGGAGTTTGACAAGCAGACTTTGACAAGCATGTTTAAGGGTTTTACACCTGACCTATATGTCAAAGACGCCTAAATCAACATCTCCAGCTTCAGTCTATCGCTGATGTTCACCATGTTCCTGTTTCATGGTGAGCTTAATGTGATTTCAGTCTCTCAAGGGAGAGAAGAACCCCGAAAGAAAGTCAAAAATTGGAATCACTAGAAGTTCCCATTTTCTTGTGCTTTGTGTTTGGCCTCAGGGTTCTTAGCGCTAAAAGCATATTGGACTGTAGATGGAAGCAATAAAATACTAGTAGTGCTGAGAAGAAAATAAGAGTTCTGATTCATGTGCTACCAAAAATGACTTCCAAATGAGCTCAGAGTTTCATCTTGGGAGATCTATTTGGCGTGTGTAGCACAAACAAAATGCACATACCAAAAAAATAAAAGCTTCCTCAGAGAGAGCCATCTTCTGAGAAATAGGAAATACAGAAATAAAGAAAAGGAGCTGATATTATGGATTAAGACCTTTTTCAAAATTTTAACATTCAAATGATGGAAAAAGAAGTTAGATAATATCTAAGTGATGGTGCTCTATTCATTATTAATGTCATTCATATTGTCTATCACTCAACTAGTAAATATATCAAAGGTATTCAAGATGTAGATTTATATGTATATGATATATATATATCATATATTAGATACATCTCCAAATTCATAATGTAGACTGTCTTTTTAGTTCTTTTACCTGAGATTTCATCAGTTTTTAAAATGGCATATAGGCAACATTAATTAATACCCCCTAAATTCAGATTGCATGTTTTATGGAAGAAACTCAATTCCATATTTATGTACTGTCTAACCATCCTTTTTGCTTATTCTGCTTTATGCTTCAGTCACTCTACTAGTTCAAAGAGTTGACTGCACAAATACTGTTTTTTTTTCTTCAGAGATATTTTGAATAGAATTATTCAAAACCAGTGAGCCTTATATGTTTCACCACCATACAATATAAAAATTAATTTTAGCTGTTGGAAAAGTGTTTTGAGGCACATATTTACTTCAATAACTTTCATAGCTTCAAATAAATTATAGAAAATACTTCTTTTCTCTTTTAAATCTGTCAGTTTCCTGCTGCTTCTGTCTGTGTGTATGATTTTTTTTAATAAGCAATATGTTACCCAGGCACTCAATAAATATTTGTTGTGTGTGTCCTCATTCTATACCTCATATACTAGAAATATAGAAATAAAGCTTTGTAACGTTGTTAAATGTATTGACCAAACTTAAAAAGATGTTTTTATAGCTATTAATCATTCCATCAGATTTTTCCCTCAACAAAACAAATGTGTGCAACAGTTTATTTGATAAGTAAACTGAAGAACAGCTCTTACATAAGCATTAAAATGGTGACGTGTTAGGAGGCTAAATGGCATCAGGTAATCATGGAGTTTTATGTTCTTGTACAGTAATACTACTTCTGAAATGTTTTTCGACTTAGTCAATTTTTTTTCTAACCTTATAGATACTATTTTAGTTTGAGCCCTCTACCATCTCTCAACTTAACTAAAAATAATGACTGTATTCTTTCTATATTAGGAAAAATCAAATCTGGAAGTTAGAAGCAGAAAAAAAACCAGCACCTCCAGTTCCTAAGAGGTGCTGGAGTTTGGCAGAACAGAAAGAAATTCCATGATCAATACTAGAGAATGCCTGACAGGCTAACATGTAATTGTTAAGATATTTAGTTGGTCCTTTAGGGAATTATAACAACCAAGGCAAAATGTAAGTCATTTTCAGGAATAATCTTCCATCTGTGTTAAAAAAAAAATGATTCCTTTAAACTCTTAACTTTTGTTTTGAGACATGATTTCATCTGCTCAGGCTAGCCTCAGATTAATTGGCCCTCCTGCCTCCATCTCCTTAGTGCTATGATTACATGCATACACCACACTGCCAGGCTTCCTTCCCCTTTAATTTTACAAAACCAAAACCAAAAACAGAAAAGCTGCTGTTCAAAGTATATGAAATGTTTTAAGAAACTGCATTAATTCTGGAAGAAAAACGAACATGAAAACATCTCAACTTTCTGTTAGGGATCTCTGTGTAGCCTTGTTCATGTTCAACTTGTTCAAGTTATGGATATACTTAAAATTTAAATGCATAATTCTAATCTCTTTAATTTTTAAAACCTCATATTTTATGTGTACGATTTTTCTGCCTCAATGTATGTCTACATCACTTGCATGCCTGGTGCCCTCAGAAGCCTATAACTGGAGTTACAGAGGGTTGTGAGCTTCTGGGAATACAACCGGGGTCCTCTAGAAAAGCAGCCAGTCCATTTAAACACTGAGGCATTTCTTAGGACATAGAGACACTTAATTTAAAAAAGTCCTCACTTGTCTTAGTCCATCATCCTGTTGACAAGGCTTTGATCTTCCCTGAATTGAAACTGTAACTGGAAAACCAAAATGAGCATCTTCATTTAGTTAGACTCAAGACTAAATTGATAATATACAGAAAATTTTCATCCTTCATTAAAGGTGATTTGAATTTAAAGAGGCAAGGATGAATTTTTACATAAAAAGATTGTGTGTATAGTTCCTGATCTAAGAGGACCAAATTATTTGACACATTTTAAAACCTTCATCTCCCAAGCTCTTGGCATTTAAAGGGATGATTAGTTCTGTACCCCTTAAAAAAGAAAGGAAAAAAAAATGATGGACTTATTAAGAAACGAAATACATTGTTTAACCAAGTAAAGACTTAATCAGTAATAAAACTGTTGTCTAGCGTCTTATCACTCCCAAGTCTATAGTAGATGCCTCTTAAGTTTATTTCTCTTTGCTTTGCCAATAAACTGCTAATTGATATTGTAAAGATGACCTTGAGAAACTGCACGATCTTGATGTGCGTCTTGAATAATTTAGTTTTTTTTTTTTTGTAAGCTAAAGGTCTCCAAGTCCCATCACTTAGAAATTCAGAGGCAGATTGCCTTAGTAACAATAATCCAAACATTCTTAATAATCTCTTCTCCCCTCCATCTTCAAACTGAACTCAATCTCATATAGCCTGTATTCCCACAGATGCATCTGAAATTACCACATATTTGCATACATGCTGACAACATGTTACCTACGGTTACCCTTTGACATTTGCTCACAAGCCAACTAGGAGATTGAGCAAAACAAGTCTCTGCCTCTCCCAATTTGCCATATTGGACCAGGTTTGTTTCCTGATAAAGCTGTTTGGAGGCACCTTCCACAGAAATGTGGACCACAGGTCTAAGGGTGAAGTCTCCTACTGTGCCAATCTTTGCCACGAATCCTTGAGTGCATAAGAAGTCATGATTCATAGGACACTTCATATAAACAGTTCCTTTCCCTTCTCTCCTGATCCCCTTCTCCTTAGAGGCTTTAAAAAGTATTTTAAGTCCTAGACACCTAAAGGACCTTCTAATACCATAAACCCCTTCACTGCTCTCTTTCCTCTCTTTTGTTCAGTCATCGAAGCTTATATCTTCCTTTTCCTAGAAGCCAGGAATAAATAAAATGCTAGTATAAATCCTGTCATGCAAATAGAGCCCTAAGGGCTGACCAACTCCCTCTAGTTAATCACACACACCCAGATAATTCCCTTTGAGCTCAGCTGGGACCAGCCTAGCTACATAACCTTCAGTATAGTTTGATCTTTTGCAACTCTTTGAAAATAGGAGATACATGTAAAATATATGGTATCTCTATTAAGTAGAATATTTGACCAGAATTCCTCATTCCCCAGTTGTGTTGGAAAGACTTGAGTGTATTATATATGGCTATCATTGACATCTCCTTTACAAAAAGATGTCAGCTATCAACTGTTATATTCCGTTTGACTGTTTACTTTGGGCT